ACATTGTTTGCAAAAAATTGATATCTTGTTTACGTGAACATGCTGCTTGGGAATATAGAGAGGGCATTAACGTATGTAGGTTTCGAAATCAAGGGAGTATAAGAACAGCCCACTTCCGCAGCATGCACCTGATGAGATCGAGCCGAAGACAGAAACAGAAGAGAAAAAAATATCAACTGTCTTCCCCCTCTCTTTTCCCACTTCCTCTCTCCGATCTGACTTTTTTTTCCCTTCCCGTCTTTCTTATTGTCAGTCCCAGCATTTCCGGAATCGGTGATAATAAATTGATTGTGATAATTGTGATAATTTGATTGTCATAATAAATCACAAGCCCATGCGGGTCACACTGCTTCTTCCTTTTCCCGTTTGGACGGACTGTATTGTACTGTACTCGCCCCAATCCAATGGGACATCTCCCCTTTAAATTACTTAGCCGATGCATCGCGATGGTCGAAAAAACTATCGATAGTGGTATCGATGCATCGATCAATCGTGACAGCCCTAGTTATAACCGATCACCTCAGGTCTGATCCCCATATGTAGCGAGCATTTTGCCACATATTCTGTGACCCCCTTTGGGTTCGCTGCAGTGATGCCACAGGGGTCAATTACGCGAAACATCAGCCCTCCTGTATTTTCTGCACATACAATGAATATATATTTTCTTTTTTGTCCTTTTTTTTTGCAGACTTTTACATTCGTTCTGTCTCTGATTTGCCTGAGGATTCCTTGATGACTTCCTACCATTGCATTTCTTTTTTTCTGCTAGCTTGAAAGGTGATGAAGGTGGAAGTGTAGGAGGAGGATCATTGAGAAGCGCATCTTCATTGAGCAGTGGAGCAGGAAGTGTAGTTTTGGTGAAGGACAGGGCGCTGAAGGCTACTGCCGGCACCATCACGACAGCCACACTTGTTCCCACCGCTTCTGAAGACCGGGTTTCACTTCATTTAATATCTTGGATTCATGTTGATGTTTTTTTTTTTCCTTCCTACTTTTAGCTGCAATTCATCTCTTTTTTCAGACTGGACCATCTGAAGAGAACAACTTCGCGATTCTGCGCCGACAGCAACAGCAACAACATCAGCAGCAGCCACATCAAGGAGAAGCAGAGAGTTCGAGAAATTCTTTACTTCAAATGCCACGGCCACTTCCAATGCCGGAATATGGAGGCTTCTTCGCACCCATGTCGGAATTCCTGCCTGAGAGCTCTCAACCGATTACAGCCTTCCATAGGTGGGTTCCTAAAAGCATGGCATCGTGTTTATCCTGATGTCGTATGGGTTTTCTGACCATTTTTTCATTAACACGTTGACGACCAGCCTATTTTTGCTTTTCCGCCGCGTGGGACCACGCGCATTTTTTTTTTTCAAAAAATGCGTCCTGCCATCAGGACGCATG